CTCCAGCTTCCAACCCCCAGCATCTGGCCCCAGACCCCATTTCCAGCCTCCGGCCCTCAGCCCCCTTTCGGTAAGTGTCCCACGCTGGACCGAGGCGGTGTGCTCATGGGCCGGTGCTCCTTAGAGGGAGCACTGGCTGCCACCCCTGCTGCTGTTGGGTGGGCATGGGGCATCTCACCATGGTGGTGTGGGGTTCCTGGCGCGGGGTTCCTGGCAGTGGCATTGAGCACTCCCCGCTCTGCCCTGAAGTGCCAGGTCCTGCCTGTTGGGTCGTGGAGGGCTCAGGGGGAGGGCAGCAGGGTGGGGAACCCTGAGCCTGCAGTGGGCAGCCCACATCTGCCCCCACCTTTTGCATAAATCTGGGAGGCATATGCCCCCCATGCCTTCTCCCCCCACCCCCTGGGAGTGTGCGCAGTGATGGGGAGCCACTCTGCTCTGCCCCCCCGCTGTTCCCTGGATGAGCTGCCTGTGGCTCCATCTCACTCCCCACCCAGGCCCTGTGGCTGCAGACTCCCACCCCAGCTTGGGGTCCAGCCCCAAGCCCCACTCACAGCCCTGGCTGGGCAACGCCCCTAGCCTCATCCTTGCCCAACTACCTCCTTCCCTTCTTCACTATGGGCACCCCGCTTCCCCCACCAGCACCCCAACATACCTGCAGGAAGCAGTGTTCCTTCTAAGCTGTGTGGCATGCATGGCTGCGCAGGCACACCTGGCAGTGCAGGATGAGTGCACCTGCGCAGCCGCACATGCCATGCAGCTTAGAGGGAACACTGGCAGGGAGCTGCAGGAGCTGCAGGAGCTGCCCTCCATGCTGCCTGGCTGCCACACGTATATGTATGCACGTGGCACTCCCTACCTGATCGTCTCCCTCCTCCCACTCCCCCCAGCCCCTTGCAAGCTAGAACTCTGCCAACCTGCAAGGGGAAACCTATTGTTTCCCTCACTTTTCTCCTTTAAAGGAGAAAACCCTCATTTTTGTCACTTTTTGGGGAGTGAATGGAAAACACGATCCCTGGTGATCAGGCAGGGGGCACCATGTGCATGTGGCAGCCAGGCAGTGTGAAGAGCAGCTCCTGCAGCTCTCTTCAGTCTGTGGGTGGGGGGAAGGCAGATTGAGGCACCCACAGTGAGGGAGGGAAGGAAGAGGGCAGTGTTGGGGCTGAGCCTGAGGGCACTGCCCAGCTAGCATGGTGTGTGGTCCTGGAGCCCAGAGCCAGGGGAAGAACGTGCAGCCAATACTGATAACTGCTTAATATAACCAAAACACAGCACTGCAACAGGATACCTCCAAGAAATCCAGAAGTACTCTAGTTCTGGAGGAGGAAACTTTCTAACTCGGGGGTCAGCAACCCCTGGCATACATGCCAGAGCATGGTACATCAGGCCATTTTGCTTGACATGCCACAGCCAGCCCGGGCTTTGGGCAGTTGCAGTCAGCCACAGAGCCTGGACTACTCACAGAAGGCAGCTGGGAGGCTGCAAGCCCTGCTGGAACCCACCCAGGGTCTCTAGCAGGCAGTAGCTGCCTGGAACCTGGGTTGGTTGTGTCAGGCAGATGCACCAGGTCTGGAGCCCCAGCACTGGCTCCGCAGCAGTAACAGCTGCACGCGCACCTTGGGTACCACAGCAGAGAAGGGGCCAGGGCACTGTAACCCTAGCCCCATCCCTGCTGTATGCCTCCAGGCACTCATGCACCCACTGCAAATGAGAATTGGGCCTCTCATGGCTCCCCAGTCTGCTCCTAGCATGCCAAGTGGAGGCATGGGTGGAGGGTGGGGTGTTTTTGGCATTCCGGCCAAAAAAATTGCCGACCCCTGTTCTAACTCTATTTCTGTGCTAGATTTCCCCGAGGGGTAAATGTTCTGCCCACTTATGTGTACCAGAGTGGCTTAATTTTGGCCTCCAGTGTTCACATCTAAAACCAAGCTGAATGCATCATGTTTTGAGGAAAATGCTACCTGTCCCTTGGTTGTAATTCTGCCCTGTCCCCCAAGTGCCTCTGCCAGAGCTTATCACTAATCCAAAACACAGTGAGAAGACCAGAACACAGCATGGGATGTCCTGCTTTCCCAGCAGAAATGGGGCCTTTTGCCCTACTGTAGTAGTGAATAGCACCACAGAGCCAAATACATTTTTATTTCTTCACCTGAATCTGAATCTTGGCAATGGCTTTGCCTGATTGGTTATCCAGTTACTAGCTGCTGGCATCTTTCATCTAGCAGTCAGACCATAGGACTGAAAGGCAAATGAGAGACTATTGCTTGATTCCTGCCCTCCACCAACACTTCCCTATGCTTGACTTGCTAAATTCACACTCCTCATAGAAAGACTCTCTGCAAAAATAATTGCAAGTATAGGTGGCAAATATAACCGCGTGTTGGGGCCATTTTGCTGACAGTGATCAGCAAACCTCTCCAGAGATGTCTCAAAGCCTGTAGTTCTAACTCTGCCCATTGTGATTGGGTAGGATGGGCACTGGTTGAACTGACAGACTGTCTTGCCTGTTAAGATGCCGCTACATGTCTATGGCGTTCTCCCCTCAGCAGGTTGGAATTTTTGGCACTGGATTTATGATCCAGATACCTTGTTCTGAGCAGACCCAAGCCCTCAGACCAACCACAACTTCTCCATTTGATAGCAGGTGAATTTTATTGATACACAGTGATAACAGATAATAATGTAGGCAAGGCAAACAGATTCTATATCTACCAAGCAGACCCAAGCCCTCAGACCAACCACAACTTCTCCATTTGATAGCAGGTGAATTTTATTGATACACAGTGATAACAGATAATAATGTAGGCAAGGCAAACAGATTCTATATCTACCAGTCCTAGGGCTGTCGCAAAGGGAAGGTGTGTCTGGCCAGAACATGAGCTTCGTCCTGAGGTTCTCTCTTGAATGTCAGATGTCAGTAGCCTGGAAGTTGAGGGCTGAGGCCCACCCTCTCTTCCTCCCACCTACCACGCAGTGGGGTGGGGGAGATGGGCTGGTGGCGTGCCTTCTGTCCATGGCTTCCTTGGGTTTCCCCCTTCGGGACCCTTTGCTTCTCTGAAATCCCTCCTTTTGTATTCTTTCTCCCCTCTGATGACTCTTCATTCATGGGCCGTCTCCCTATGGTTGTCATACTGTCCACATTCTGTTTTGTCAGCATATATTTTTGTTTCCCAAACCCATCATATGCACACATTTAGTTTGGTTATTCATCAGTCTCCTAATCTGGTACGTCCACCAAAACCAGAAATCCCAAGGGCTCCGTAGCTGGGCACAGAGACCTAGTGCCAATGCTGCAGAGTCCCTTATCTCTGGGTACGCTGCTTATGTTATGGAACAGTGTGGTATGTGTCTTCAGTTTCCTAGCCTGTGTATCTGCTGGCTTCAGACACAGTGGGCCTTGAAGGCAATTTTGTCACAGACAGGCTTTTAGAAACCAATTACCCCTAGCCATTCCCCTGGACCATTGTTCTAATGCAATATCTATTTTACCTACAAGCCGATTCCCAAGAACAAACCTTTAAATACCATTTTTAAGCCATCAGGAACGAGAGTAGTTATGTCCTCAAAATGCTACAGTGTCTCTCTGCTTTGTCTGCAAGCTTGCACTCGTGCTCTCGATTCTTGAAGGTTTCCTAAAACCCTCTCCACCGGTGCCTTATTAAATAATCCAGTGCTACTTGCAACTAAACTGTTGGAATTCTCCCTCAATATGTGTGTGTGTGTGTGTGTGTGTGTGTGTGTGTGTTGTGTGTATGTGTGTGTCCCATGTCTGTTTCACTCTTTTGGAGGTGGGAACAGAAAACAGCACAGAACTGGTATTTCTGTCTCTGCCTCCAGGCAGAATGCACCCAGGTCTAGAGTGCATAGCATAGAGAGTATGAAATCTTATCTACTGCCATGTGGGTTACCCTCCTATAAAAGTTGTCTAAAAGAAAGGACAAACTTGGCGGGCATTTCCATTTGCAGTTGGAAGGAAACGTGTGTTCTGGCCCTAAAGAACTCTCAGACACAACTAGGACTAAACTGAGACCTTAAATGTGCATATGAGGGCAAGTAGTGGTATCAGAATGGCGTTGTAGGTATGATGGTCCAGGGAATTTGTGAGAAGCACAGTTTGTTTGGTAATGTCATTTATTTGGGGGAGAAACTATGAAGCACAAAGTACCCTTCTTCAGGTTTGGGAAAGAAGCAAGTACAGCCTAACCAAATACTAGGTATATACTTTTATCTTAGACATGAGGAAAGGTATTGTATGCCTTTGTATTGGAGCAAACAAACTTTCTTCCTCCTACATGAGGACTGACACTCAGGTGGAATCTGCACCTACTCCTGGCCTCAGTGGGAATGGTTGCTATATACTTGGTACCTGCTGAAGATGGATTTAGTGCCAGACCTTGAAAAGTAGAAAATGTTGCGCTCCTTCTATCTAAAAGAATTTGAGTCAGCGCTCAAGAGCCTTGTATCACTGCAAACTAAAATGTTCTCAGTGAAGAAAGAGCATTTTTTGGAAGTGCCCTTATACCAATTACTCTGAGTACGTCATACCATTTACCATCTAAGGTTCATGGTGGAAAATGGGAGTTTGCTGAGGTAGATTATAAATCCATCCAGCTGCTTTAATCAAAGTCTTGTCTTCCAGCTGTTCCTGTACAATCATGTTGGCCAGAATGGACTTGGCACTTCTGTAGGTAATACACATTTCAGATTCTTATGAACAAACTAATCATTAGGGATTTTGGTTTTCCCTGGCAAAATACTGCAAAATCTCTGATTTAAAACCCCCAAATCTGTGATTAAAATGAAAGGCCACTAATATATATATATGTAAGGCCACACTGTAAATACATCAATAAAACATTGTGTTCAACTGATACACACACACACACACACACACACACACACACACACACACACACACACGTATATCAGTTGAACACAATGTTTTATTAATGTATTTACAGTCTGTGTGTGTGTGTGTGTGTGTGTGTGTGTGTTTTGGAAGCCTATCAGTGCCTCAATTACTATAATAAAATTAATTCTAAATACCTATAAATTTTGGTATTTGATTTTGGGTTTTTAAAGAAACTAAATAAGAAAGTAAGAGTTCTCCCTGTCCCCTTAGCTCACTGAATGCAGGTCCTGGCCCCTCACTCCTGAGCCACAGCCCCCCGCATCTGCTGGTGCCCGTCACTCCCCAACCCTCTGGCCCTGCTTGTGCCCATTGCCCCCCCCCCCTCGGGCCCTGCTTGTGCCCATTGCCCCCCACCCACTGTCCCCTGACCCTGCCAGTCCTGCCAGAGGGGGCCCTCAGCTACCAGGGCTACGGGACCAGGGACCCAGGTCTGCAGCCCCCTGCCCACCACAGCAGCATCCAAGCCCTGGCTGCCACCCGTCGGAGGCGGTGGCTGCAGCAGTGTAGCAGAGCATGGAGCCTGGTTCCCCCTCCCCCATGGATGACATGGCTAGAGCAGAGCCTGTGGGGGGCAGATGCAGGCGGGGGTGGATCCCCACCGTGTGCACTCCTGGGGTGTAGGGGGGACCCATGCCCCCCAGATCTGTGTGCAGGGCTGGGGCGGGCTGCCTGCTGTGGGCTCAGGCTCCCCACCCTGCTGCCCTCCGCTGGGGCCTCCAGTGGGGAGCACAACTCTGTGCTGCTGCCCCCCACTACTGTGGGGCAGGCAGGGGGCGCATCGCCAGGGCAGTGTGGAGCTTGCAGTGGCAAGGAGCTTCCCCACCCGCCTCTGCTCTGCCCTGCTGTGTTGAGTCTCGCTCTAATGGGCCGCAGAGGCCCTGTGGAAGGGCAGCAGGACAGGGACCCTGAACCTGAAGCAGGCAGCGCACCCTTGTCCTCACACACATCTGGGGGGCATGGGTTCCCCTGTTCCCCCTACCCCCGAGGAGTGTGCACAGCATCAGGGAGCCAGCCCCACCCCCCAGCCGCCTGGGTGAGCTGCTGGCCTGCTCCCTGCTGGGTCCCAGCAGCCGTGCATACCAGCCCTGGGCCCCAAGCCCTCCCAGGCCCAGCCCTGCTCAACTCGCTCCCCCTGTCCCTCTCTCAATCCCCCCTGCCCCCAGACTTACCTATGGGAGTCGCTTTCCAGGCTGAATGGTGGCCATGTGCACGTGGCACCTTGTCTGACTGCCCTCCTCCTGCTCCCCCCAGCCCCTTACAGGCTGGAAATCTGCCAGCCTGTAGAGAGCTCTTTGCAAAAGTGCAAAATCTGCATGTTTCTCCATTAAAATGAGAAATCCGTGTTTTCCTCTGGTAAAGGTGGAAATCCACATTTTTATCTGGCTTCCCATTGGAAATGGAAAACCCAGATCCCTGATCATCACTTGTCTAGGTTCCTAAATGAATCATCTCCATCTCCTTGGAGAGACATAAAGCCTATTGGATCTACCTGGAGAAATCTTGATAATTATATCAGGATGTATTATTACTTAGTTTGGGAGAAGACATTTGGAGAGGAGGTTGGAAACACCCTAGTGGGTAGTTTTAAAGTTCAAAGGTGTCTCAATAATTGGAAATCAGGGGCTAGACAAAAAGATTAAATCAACAAAGATACATGCAAGTGCTACACAAAGAAAGGAGAAATGTCACTTTTTCTATTCCTGGATACATAGCCCTGCCCTTGTGGGTTCACTCAGACTGGGCATAGGCACTGGCAACATAAAAAATGAGAGAGAGAAATTCCTCTCATCTGTTCCCACAAATAGCTGAATGACTAAGAGCACTCACCTGGGAACCCAGAGGGGATTTGAAACTGAGGCCATCTGCCTTCTTTACATAAAATGTACCATCTGTGATGGGACTCTGAAGTCAGCCAAGGTCACAAAGGTACAGTTAAACTCCCTGTGAGGCGAGATACTCAATTACAGGACAGTTAGATATAGGGATATAAAAATCCAACTTTAATAATTAGAGGAAACACTACAACAGAACTAGAAAAGACAGAAACAAAATAAATGTTTAAAAACACATTATCTTCTAACCTCTCCTTTCCCTCTTATACCTAGCCAGGACTTACTTCTCAGTCCCTGGCTGGGTTCAGTGGCAGGCAGGAATCATCACTGTCCCTGCAATGAACTTCTCCTTGTCCCTGGAGGTCTTGGCTTCTCTGCTTCCCTCAGAAGGTTTCCTCTGCCCCACTTCCCCGCCTTTTCAGCTACAGTCCCCATGTATAGGGTCACCATATTCCCAGGTCCAAAAAGGACACCTGATTGGGGTGGGGCGGGGAGGGGAGAATATGGGGGTTAGCGGGAATATGATGTGGGGGGCAGTGACATGCTGGTGCCCTGCCCATTCTGCTGCCCCTCCCTGACAAGCCACAGCACCCTCCAGCCCTGCTGGTGCCCCTCACTCCTGGCCTGTGGCCCCCTGGTGCTGCCTGTGCCCCACACACCCAAACCACAGTCACCTGCCCTCCCTCAGTGCCCCTCACAACGCACAGCCCCCTGCCCCCCCATAACCCTGTGGTGCCCCGCACTCGTGACCTGCAGCCACCTCTCCCCCCCAGCCCTGCTGGTGCCCCTCACTCCTGACCTGCAGCCCCCAGACCACCAGCCCTGCTAGTACCTCTCACTCCCAACCTGCAGACCCCTGCCCCGCCACCCCTGCTGGCTCTAGACCCGTAGCCCCTGCCCTACCCCCTGCCCCTCACTCCCGACTCCCTGCTTCCTACAGCCCCTGCCCCCTCAGCCCTGCTGGTGCCCCTCACTCCCGACCCTCTGTGCTCCATCCCTGCTGCCTCCGCTTGCCCTCCCCCTGCTCCCACCAGCGGAGCAAAGCTAAATCGCGAACTTGGTTCCCAATTGCACAGGCGCCGCACTTGGTATTCTGGAAACTGTAGTTTTACATAGCAGTGGCTGTATTGAAAATGGATGGGGGGAGGAAATAATGGAATTTTTCCTTGCATTTAAAAAAACCCGCCCGGACTCTGCACAGGGGACCAGAAAAGAGGACACGTCCGTGAAAATCCGGACGTATAGTAAACCTAATGTAGCAGAGTCCTCTGTCTTCATTCTCTGGGGCTTCATAGCATCAGGCTTCCCTGCTTATATTTCCATCCCTTACCAGCTTCTAGAAGGAGCCAGAGATCCCCAGGCAGGGGCCCTTCCAGCACCACCCAGAGGGTGGCCATTAGGCCACACCCAGCACCCAACCCAAACAAAAAACCCCCAGCCATTAATCCTTTTCCTGCCAGAATAAAACCCATTCAAAGAAACACTTTTAACATATAACATCCAAACAAACAATAAAAACATACAATCACCACTGGCACCACCAGTCCCTTCTCTAGCACTTACTTTGAAGATGGCCCCCTGGGCAGTCATGAGAGGGTGGTAGGTTGGGGGTGTGGGTATGTGGGACCAGGAGGAAGGGAACAAGCCAGGGATGTGGGGCTCAGTGAGGTGGCTGCTGGCCTAGCAGGGAGAGTGGAGTCTTGCTTCCAGTGGAGCAGAAACTTCCTTTTCTGCAGTGCCCACCAATCTCTTTTTTCACCATTATTATGGCTATTAAAGGCAAGAGGCAGAGGTCTCAGTTTCAAAAGGAGTACCAGAGAGAACTCTTGAGTAAAGCATGACCTGTGGGTTGGTGATTAGCACACTGTGTACAGGTTCAAACTACCCCGCACCTCCTGCCCTTCCAGGCAGCCCTAGAACTCATGCTTTTCAGGTGAGTATCCTAGCCCCTCCACTATTAAGAGCGAAAGATGGGAATCTTCTCCTTGTTCTTGTCCTCCATTTTGTTGCGGGTGTTTACCTGTTTTCTGTGGCAAGGGAGAATAGTTGTTTTCCTTCTTTCTTATGGCATTCTTTCAAATATTTGAAAACTGCTATAATATCCTCCTAATTCCTTTTTTCCAAGCAAAACAGACTAGTACTCTCAGCATCTCCTATCTTTTGCCTTTCAACCCTGGTATCATTTTTGTCTTCTCCTTTCCAGACCCTCTACAGTTCCTCCATATCCTTCTTAAAATATAAAGCAGGGAACTGCAGAGTACTCTAAGTGAGGGCTAACCAGGGCAAGCAGAGTGGTACTATCACCTCCCATGTATTATTTAATGCTCCCATTGGTGCAGTCCAAACAGCTCTTGAGTGGAGGAGCAGGAACCTTCATGGCTTTTTTTTTTTTTTGTGGGGGGGAGGGTTAAGTCTCAGCAGTAGCATTGGCACACCCTGGTCAAAATCCCCAACTTTGCCTGCAGCAACCCAGTGCTTCTCAGGAAATCTATAAAACTTATAGTAACGGGCAGGGAAAAAATTGCTTCCCAGTCTCATGTAGTGACCAGCTAAGCCCAGAAGCATGGGAAAACTGAAAACCCTCCACTCTTCTTACACGGAAAAGTTAAAAGAGCAATGAGCAACCCCTAAGACACCTACAGGCTTGGTGGTACCAGGCTGACTAGCACCACAAATTAAAGGGACCTGGGGGTAATAATAGACCACAGTATGAATATGAGCTGCCAGTGCGATGCTGTAGCCAGTAGGGGAAATAATACTCTGGCATGCATCTCCAGCAAAGCCAAGGAGGTGATTCTTCTGCTCTACTCAGCACTGGTGAGACTGCAGCTGGATACTGCATCCAGTTCTGGGCACCACACTTTAACAAGGACATGGACAAGCTTGAGAGAATCCAAAGAAGAGCAACTCATATGATCAGTCTTAAAAGGCAAGCCATATGAGGAAAGGATTTGGGACTCTTCAGTCTGAGGAAAAGAAGGCTGAAAGGGGACCTAGTAGCAGCTTACCACTATACTAGGGGAGTACATCAAGGGCTCGGTGAGCAACTGTTCACCACGGCACCCTTGGGGAAAACCAGGAGTAATGGCCACAAACTCCTGGAAGACCATTTCAGGCTCAACATTAGGAAAAACTTCTTCACAGTCAGGGTGTTCAGACTGTGGAATAAGCTCCCTCCAGAAGTGGTGCAATCACCTACTCTGGAAATCTTCAAGAGGAGACTGGATGGTCACCTTGCTGGGGTCACCTGATCCCCAGTTATCTTTCCTGCTTGGTGCAGGGGGCTGGACCCAATGATATTCTGAGGTCCCTTCCAGCTTTACAATCTATGTATCAATGAATCTAAGAGCTAGGGTTATTTAGTCGAAAGAAGAGAAGATTGATGGGGTTCTGATAACAGTTTTCAAGTCCCTGAAGGCTAATTATGAAGACAATGGAGATTGATTAGAAGAATTGCACTATTATTTTTCTGTAGTCAAAGATCAAGTGAAAACTAAGAACTGGCATTTTCTAAAGGGTGCTTTGAGTCTAAAAAAGTGGAGATCCATTGGATTAAACACTTGTATAGGATCTATAAACAGGGATGATTCTGTCTTGAGCAGCAGGCTGGACTAGATGATCTCCTGGGGTCCCTTCCAACCTTACCATTCTATGATTCTGTAAGGTGTGGTACCCTTTGGGAAGAAAAACCATATGCAGCAATACAAAATGGGAGATTAGCTGTGTAGTACCATTGTTGAGAAGGATCTGGAGACTTTGGTAGATCACAGATCCTATATGAATCAACAGTGTAATGCAATTGCCAAGAAAGCAAACAGCTTGGGGCCAAATCAAGAGAATTATAGTATATAAGACATAGGAGAAGACTGTGCCAATGTATTAATTAGGTTACAGAGGAAGTTTTGTGTGGAGTTCTAAGCTCTGCAATTTAAAAAGAAGGTGGACAAACTGGAGGTAATCGAGAGAAGTGTGACAATGATGATAAAGGGGATTGAATGTAAACCATATGAGAACAGGCTGAGAGATGTAGGTATGCTTGGTTGGGTGAAAGTAGATTAAGAGGGAACATGATAGCAGTTTTCAGATGTTTGAAAGGTTGCTCTAAAAAAGAGAAAACAACTGTTTTCCCTTGGTGCACAGGATAGGACATGGAACTGCAAAGTTTGAACTGCAGAAAGATGGATTTAGATTAAATATCAAGAAAAACTTGAAAACAGTTGGACACTGAAGCCATCTGTCCAGGGAAGCTGTAGTATCTCCTTCACTGAAAGTTTTCAAGAAGAGGCCTAATAGACACATGAGATGGTGTAGGAGTTACACATCCTGCATTTGTGTAGCTGATTGAACTAAATCACGGTGGCCACTGGTCAACCTTCAGCATGTGTGCCACAAGTAGGGTGGCCATCATAGAAGACATTCTGGTTTTCTGCTACTCTGTCCTCTATTGATATGAAACCTGACGACTTTATATCCTTTATTTTTCTCTTCAAGAGAAAAATAGAGAACATAAAGGTGCCCGGTTTCGTATCAATAGAGAACAGCCGGATTGTCGTCTATGATGGCCACCCTAGCCACAAGTGGCATGGGAGGCCTCTGTATGTGCCACAAAGCAGACAAATAACACAGGAACAGATAGCACAGGGAGCAGAAAGCAGAGCAGCAGATTGGGCAGGGAAAGGAAATAGAGTGGTACCCAGGGAGGCTGCAGGGCTAATTTGTGGCACTTCTATCACAAAAATTGGCCCCCAACAAACTAGATGATCTTTAAGATCTTTCCCATCTAACTCTATGATAAGTCTGTTTAGACCCTGGAAACAGACTTTTTTCCCCCTACTGTTAGAGGCCAAGAGCTTGTGGGGATCCAGGTGCAGAGATCTGGATCTTTGTTTCATGATGGTGGAATTCAGCTGTGTAGTACTACTGACCTGGCTTTTTTCCCCTCTTTGTAGGTATGCTAATTGTATGTGGTGTCCTGGTTAATGGTCCTTATGCTCTCATTACAACAGCAGTTTCAGCAGACTTGGTAAGGTTTAAGATTTTTTTTTCTTATTTTCTTGTGGGTTCCTTGACTAGCTCAGAGTTTGACATCTTCCATTCTGATTGCAGTTTATTGCACCACAGGCCATGCACAGACTGTGTTATCTCTTTCCTGAGCTGTGTAGGGTTTATTACTTATGATTACATGCAGATACCTTGGACACTAACAAAAGGGCCAAAATGTAGCCGTTATACCCTGGATTTGGCTTACACGTTGCACAGTGCTTCATTTTATCAGACAGATGTAGGAAATTCTTTCCATGAATTGTAAAGTTGACAACTTGGCTGAGACCTCTTGGGAGAAGGGGAATGAGGCCAGGAGCACTACATCAGGCACTTGAAAGGGTATGAGTACCTGGCATAGCGCTGAGGTTTCCTCCAGGCATTTTAGTAGAATTTGGACTTTATGCAATTAACTGGGTCTTATCGTCCCTCTGATGAATGATTAGCAGGATTTTAAGCACAAGAGCAGTGTGGTAGTATTTGAAAAATGGTTGGACTGAACTACATTTTGAAACAATTAAGCAAGATGTTTTATGTTTTGCTTTTAAGATAACAACATCTTACTCCAGCTCTACTATATTTATACATCCTGGAACCATGACTTCTATGCAAAATAGAAAAATTGCTGGTAGATTGCTCAGCATTGCCATGTAGTAGTGCATAGTAGTGTAGTAGTGCATAGGTCTGTGGGTTGGTTATCTGCAATTACACAAAACTTCATCAGGAAAAAACTGGAAGGGGTATCTGAAGACTGATGGAAGAGGAAAATCTGACTACCTGCTGGTCCAGGAGTGGGCAATTATTTCAGCTGATGGGCCATTTAATAGGTTTTGGTGAGCTGTCAAGGGCTGCACACACAAAATCTTTCTGAAGATATAATTTAAACAAATTATAGATAAAAAAAGCCAAAGTGTATACTAAAAATAAAACATCTACTGTAACATTTTAATTTTATTTCAAAAAATAATTTTTGTTCTGATTTGTTTTTTTTGAGTAGTGTATATAGAGTCAATTGTGTAATGGCCCAAATAAAGTCTTACTTTTGTAGATTGCATGTGTATATGTGGCGGGGGAGCTGTACGTTGGTGGGGGTGTGTGTGTGGGGGTGCACATGCTAGGACATGGGAGCTGGCTGGGGGTGGAAGGAGGGAGGGGCAGGGGGGGCATACAGCAGAGCTTGCCTGGGTGGTGCAGTGCAGGTGTGGCCTGTGCCCCCTCCCCCATCCGGCCCTCGGTTGCCCCTGCAGCACTCCATATGGGGCCAAACCCCTCCCAGGACAGCCTGCACCATTGGTGGTGTTCGGGTGAGAGTGTGGTGCAGGCTGCCCCAGGCAGAAGTGGCTGGGGCTCAGCCCCATGCGGAGTGCCACGGAGACAGCTGTGAGCTGGATACAATCAACTAACTGGCCAGATTTTGCCTGCAGGCCAGATTTTGCCCACCCTGTGCTAGTCCCTTTGGGTGTAATTCTTATTTCCCTTTGCACATCTCAAATGGCAGTTTCTTAGCTGTCTACCTGGACAGTTTTGATTTGTGCTTTTATACCATATTCACTAGGCCTGTGCGCAGCGGCCAGCATTTGCTTTGGATTTGGGTTCGGCCAATTCAGGGGACACTGATTCAATTCAATGGTTTGAATCACTGTCTCAATTCGATACAGCTGAATTAGCCAGGCCAGAACCATCCCCTGCCCCTCTCCTAGCCCGGCAATGGCTGCCCTGCCCGGCCCAGTTCCCGGCACTTGTGAAAAAAAAAAGCTTGGACTCAGTGGGTGCTGCTGGGCGGGGGGCGATCCTCACTGCCCCGCACTGCTCCATGCTGCATGGGGAGCTCTCCATGAGCCTCCTGAGCCCCCCCTGCTTCCTCAGCCCCACCATGGCTACCCTGCCCAGGTCAGCTCTGGCCCATTAAGAGAAAAAAACCCTAACCCCCCCCCCCCCCCCCCCCCCTCCCCCCCGCCAGTCTGGCCAGCATCTAGCCACACCCCCCACCCATGCACTCCACTTGAGTGGGGAGCAGAGGCAAAGCCAGGCAGGGGCTGCTTTGCCCCTGCCAGGGA